ATAGCAAATCCCGACCACTCTTGTCAAGGTTTGCATGATTACATTGTCTGGAATAATTTAAAAATAGCTTGTTATTTAACAAAATAGCTTGTTATTCAGAGTAGTCACAAAGCAAAAACCTATAATAAATGAACCACAAATAACAAGCAAGGAATCAAAACACACTGCTATACAAGAATAGAACACTTAACCCAAAGGTTGAGTGTAAGAGAGAGAAAGAAACTGCAACAATTTAGAAAACAATTATTTTTTTCCTTAAATTCTTTTATTGGTGCATTTTAGGTATACAATACGTTTACATTTATCATTGGGTGCTTGTACCTGTACATGATGTATCTTGGTTCTTATCTTTCCTCATTCCCTGTGCTCCCTTCATCACCTCCAACCATTCCCCATTTACAAAGATTTTGTTTCCATTTTTTCCTTTTCTCATAATTTTTCCTTTCCCTTTTTTCCTTTCCTCTTCCCCTCCCACTTCCCCTAACTTTGGACCTTTTCTTCCTATTTCAAATTATCAAATGATTAAAACAAATAATTGATAATTAGAAAACAAAGTTTAAAATAGCTGTAATAAGACCCTACCTGTCAATAATTACTTTGATTGTAAATGGATTAAATTCTTGAATGAAGGACATAGAGTGACTGAGTATATAAAATAAAACCAAAGCAATTATGTTACTTACAAGAACCTCACTTTACCACTAAAGACACAAATAGAATAAAAGTGAAGGAAGGAGTAAAATATTCTACGTAAATGGAATCCAAACAAAGGAAGGAGTAAATGTATTGATATCAGATAAAATGGACTAAGTCAAAAGCAGTAAAGAGACAAGTGAGGTGATTACATAATGATTAAGGGGTCAAAGCAGCAAAAGAGAATATTTCTAAATATAAATACATCTGGGCACTAAAATTTATAAAGCAAATAGTAATAAACCTAGAAGGAGTGGTAGTCCCCAAAACAGTAGTAGTAGGGGACTCTAACATTTCACATTAGCAACGGACAAATCAGACAGACTATCAACAAAGAAAATACAGAGTTAGATTGCACCCTAGGCCAAATGGAACTGAAAGATATTTCCAGAATATCCCATCCAACATGAATCTTCTCTGGAATAGATAATATGCTAGAACACAAAACAATTCTTCAAACATATTAAAAATTGAAATCATATCAATAATCTTCTTGAACCAATGCAATAAATGTATAAATCAGTAACAAGAAAAACTTTGGAAACTATGTAACTACATGGAAGTTAAATAACTTATTTTTGAACAACCAATGGATCAAGGAAGAAATAATGAAGAAAATTAAAAAAAAAACTTAAAACAAATGAAAATGGACACATGGCACTAAAACCTATGGGAAACAGCAAGAGCAGCACTAAGAAGGAGTTTATAACAACCAACGCCTAGGACAATAAAGTAGAAAGATCTCACATAAACAGATTGTTGCAAAATAACAAGGATCTAAATCCAAAATTAGTAGAAGGAAAACATTCATAAAGATGAAAGTAAACATAAAGAGACTAAAACAATAAAAATGATCAACTAAATAGAGAGCTCGTTATTTGAAAAGATAAGCAAAATAGACAAGCCTTTAGCTAACTTAGAAAAGGAGAGAGATGATTCAAAAATCAGAGATGAAAAGGGAAACATTACAACTGATCACAAAAATATGAAGAACAATTAAAAAATATTAAGAGCAACTATATGCAAAGAAATTTGATAACCTAGAAGAAACAGACAAATTTCTAGGCAAATATATCTTACCAAAATCATGATGAAGCACAAAATCTTAATAGTCTAATAACAAATAATAAGAATAAATTAGTAATAAAAATCTTCCACCAAATAAAAGCCAAGGACAAGATAGCTTCATTGCTAAATTATACCAAACATCTAAAAAAAGTAATAACAATTATCTTTAAGTCATTCCAAAAAATAGAAGATAAAGAAATTCTTCCAAATATATTCTTTGAGCCAATATATCCTGATAGTCAAATCAGATAAGGGCACAGCAAAGAAGGAAAACTGCAGTCAAATGTCCTTGATGGACACAGATACACAAGTACTCCACAAAATCCTCACAAACAAAATCCAACAACATATTAAAACAATAATTCACCATGAGCAAGTGGGATTTATTTCAAGGAGACAAGGCTGATTCAACATGAGCAAATGAATAAATGTGATACACCTAATCAACAGAATGAGGACAAACACTACATGATAGTTCAAGAGACGCAAAAAAATGTTTTGATAACATGCCAGATCATTTCATGTAAAAAGGCTAAACAAATTAGGTATATGGAACATACCTCCAAGTATAAAAGCTATTTATCTGAAGCTGATAGTTGCCATTATACTGAAGGGAGGAAAATGAACAATCTTCTCTCTCAGATCTGAAATAAGAAAGGCGAAGATGCCTACCTTCCCCATTTTTATTCAACATAATTCTGGAAATCCTAGCTAGAGTAATAAGACAAGACAAATAAAGGCCATATAAATTGGAAAAGAAGTCAAATTGTCACTGTTTGTTTGAAGATGACAAGATCTTAATAAGGAAAATCCCCAAACTCTTCCAAAACCTGTTACAATTAATAAATAAAATCAGCAAAGTTTCAGGATACAAAACTGACACACAAAAATCATTAACATTGCTTTATTAAAATAATAAGTTTTCTGCAATAGAAGTCAAGAGAGCAATCTTATAACTTTATAATCTTACAACTTCATAATAGTTATAAAAATGTAAATCTTAAAATAAATTTAAATAAAGAGGCAAAAGAGCTGTATAATGAAAAATATAAAACACTGGTGAAAGAAATTGAAGAGGACCCAAACATTGGAAAGACATCCTGTGTCATGGATTGGAGGAATCAATATTGTGAAAATGGTCATACTATGGAAAATGATCTACAGATTCAGTGTACCACAACCAAAATACCAAAGACAGTCCTTCACAGAACTAGAAAAAACTCTAGAATTTATATGGGACTAGAATAACCCTTTAAATTTCCAAAGTCATTTAAGCAAAAAGGACAAAAAAGAGGTAACACATTATGGGAAATTAGATATACCACAAAGCTATAGTGTTTGAAACAGCATGGTATTGACATAAAAACTGTTCCATAGACCAATGGCACAAAATAGCCTACAGCTGCATCTCCAGCCAACTCATTTTCTACAAAGGTTTACTGATGGGCTGAAGAAATCACAGTCTTTTCATAAATGGTGTTTAAAAAATGGATATTTACATGCAGAAGAATGAAATTAGATCCCTACCTCTTATGAGTCACACACACAAACACACACATTGACTAAAAATGAATCAAATAATAAAATATAAGACCTCAAACCATGGAATTATTGGATAAAAAACAAAGAAGTAGTGCTTAGGACTGTGTAGAGGAATGCAGGAATGTATGGGAACTGTCTACACTTGCATTGGAATGAGCAAGGCTGTTTTAGAGAAGACCCCAATAGGGAAACAAAAATGAATACAAATTAATGGGGGTCGATCAAACTAAAAAGCTCTGCACTGCAAAATAAACAGTAGAGTGCAGAGATAATCTACAGAATGGAAGAAAATATTTGTCAACTAAATATCTAGCAAAGGATTTATATCTAGAATATACAAAATGGAGGAAAATATTTGTAAACTATCCAGCAAAGGATTGATATCCAGAATATATAAGGGATTCCAAAAACGATTTCAGAACAAAAATACAAATACATTTAAATAAAATGCAATAGACCCAAATGAAGATTTTCTCAAAAGAAAACACACAAATAGGGCCGGGGATTTAGCTCAGTGGTTTCGCTGCCTGCTGCGCAAGAGGAAGGACCTGAGTTCGATCCCCAGTACAAAAAAAATTATAATAATAATAATAATAAAGAAAACACACAAATAGCTAACAAATATGTGGAAAAAATATTCAGAATTACTAATCATCAGAGAACTACAAATGAAAACCACAATGAGTATTTGGGAGTATAACTTACTGCTGGAGTGTTTGCCTGCTAAAATTCTGGATTTGATCCCCAGAACTGAAAGAGAATTGAGATACCACTCCAGCCCAACAACAATGGCTATTATCAAAAAGACTAAAGATAACAAGTACTAGCAAAAATATGGAGAAAAGAGATTCCTTGCATTTTGTTGGTGGTAATAAAAATTTCTACAGCCATTATGAAGGTTCCTAAAAAATTTAAAAAGAGAACTACAGTGTGATACAGCACTCCCATTATGGGGTTATATCCAAAAGAAATGAAATCATCATGTCAAAGAAACATTTACACTCCTGTCTTCAATGTAAGAGTATTCACAATGGCTAAGGAATGAAAACAAAGTAAGTGTCCATCAGTGATTAATGAATAAAGAATTGTAGTACATGTACACAATTAAACACTATTCAACCAGAAAAAGAATGAAATTCTGTCATTTGTGATAACACAGATAAAACTGGATATAATTAGGTCAAATGAAATAAGTCTGGAACCAAAATAAATTCTGTATGTTTAACTCATATATAGAATCTACATTATGTTAAGGCAAACTGTGCCCTTTAGTAAATAAGTCTATCAATATTACCTCATTTGTAATGAGTATTTCACAGGACTGCAAGATATTTATAATAGGGGAAACTTTGTAGAGGAATGAGGGAAAGTATGGAACCTGTCTACACTTGCTGCTCAATTTTTCTGTAAACCTAAAACTTCTCTGAAAAATAAAGCCTATCAAAAATTTAAGAGAGTGAGAGGAAAAAAATGTGCAGGACCCAAAATAATGACATGAAAACTATGAAAAATGGCCTAAAATATCTTAGAGCTTGAGAAATGTATCCAACTCTGAAATCAAGATTGTTTCAGTTACAAAGACTCAAACAAAACCCATGTTTCTCTATCATTGTTTCCTGGAGTAGCCACTGGTTTGGTTTGCTGTTTTTAGGGAAATAAATGCATCTGTCAAATATTCCATCGGCATCAAGGCTGACCTCATAAAAGTTGAACCCAGGATTGTGGTTGCCAAAGAATGGGAAGAGTTGAGGTGGGACAGGGATGGAGGGAAGTTGAACATGTACAGGAAATTCCAGTGTGCTGTTGAAGAATAAGATGAGAAAAGATAATAAGAATGTATCGTACATTTCAAAAAACTAAAAAAAAATTTAAAAGTTTTTCCCATAAAGATATAATAAATATTTGAGATCATTATACTTAACCTGATTCAAACATTTTGAAATGTATTCATATACTGAATTGTTACATGGCACCTATTAATATTCATAACCTTTATGCTTTTATATATCAGTAAAAAGTAAATTCAAAAAATTAAAAACACATCTAGATAAACTGAAAAATAATGTATATAATTTATGATATTGTAATTCCCTGAGTGTGGAGTTAAAACAGCTCTTCATGTTTACACACAACATATTCTATGAAAAAAATGCATAAGTGTTTCTGTGAGTAGAAGGAAGTTCTTGATTTCAGGTGAGAATAATTGCTTATACATATCCATCAAATGCAGATAATATTTGCAAAATATTTTGTGTGATAGGCAGTTAGGATTTATTTACTAACCAAAGTGTTTCACATGTCAAGGAAATACCTTTGCAAATATTACCAAAAATTATTTTCTCATTTTAATGTTTAAAAAAATCAAAAGATTAAAAATCTATTAAAATGAAGCCTTGCTTCAATTTGTACTTCAACTGAATATAAGACATTTTAAAAATATCAAATAACTGAAAATGGAGGAACATACTAAAACTGAATAACACTTTTTCTATAAGAAGAAAAGCCTTCAAGCATCTGAAATAATGCTCTGTATTCTCAAACCAGATACACCTTGTTTCTTTGCTATCAAACTTCAATTTAAATTAGGTGTAACTACAAACTCTGCTTTCTGATTTTTCTCATTAAAATTAAATATATGACCATAGACATATTAATAGATGAAATTTTATTATTTTAGATGAGGGAAAATTTAGAAAATGATAAGAAATTATATATTAGTAAGTCACAGCAATTCTGAAATTATCATAGCATCAATCTACTGCTTCCAGAAAGTTACTCAAAATTATAAGTAATTGCCATTAATGAGATTAGAATAACCCTATTAATTATTCCATATTCTAATAATCATTTTTCAGAATTTCAGTTATTAATATGATGTAAATTTTTGGTACATGAGTAAAAGTTATTTTATTGATACATTTTAAGTCCCATTTATTATTGAAAAGGGACTGGAACATGAAATTTTTAAAATACTCCACCCTTGATATTGCTCACAGCAGTGCTTACATTTACCATCTATTATGTAGTTTAGCTAGAATCACTTACCTTCGATGCCTCCTCTTGGCATTTTTGTGTCCATGACTCCTTCATTCTGCTTATAGACCCTGAGCTATTTTTGTTGTATTCAGCACTGAACCTAATCTCTATGATGTACTGCAATAGTTCTTAGGAAATTTTTCTTACTGTTTTCATAATTGCTAGAATAATTTCTTTAACACCTTACCAACAAGCCTAACCTTCCATCAATTTGGAATTAGAATTCTCTTTACTTACATTACCTTAACAAATTATAAAGTCAAGAATTTAAGGGGCCTCAAATTGTTACTACACTTAGAGAACTACCAGAAACAATGAGAAACCCTCAGAGGAAGAATCTACCTTTATCTCAGGCTTCAGAATATTTCCCAAAATGGGATTCCAAAGAAACTGAAAAACTAAGAAGCAAATCACAATAGAAGCCAAGCAGTAGCAACAAGTGACAACACACGTGGAAAGAATTTATTGGAATTAGTTACAGAATACAATACAAAAGTGTTTATGATAAAAGCATTTATGAAAACATAATCTTGAAACATTATTCAAGGCATAAGAAATTATGAAGACTTAAATAACATTCTGATTCTGGGTGAGATAGAATGAGCAGTATTTAACTTTTCCCACTGCACATAACTATGAAGCTGGGACTGAACACGGATTGGCTACTCATAGACAGAACATTTTCTGCAGTAGCCAGGTTGGAAAATTAAAAATAAAACTGAATAGACAGTGAGCTTATCATTCCTCTCCTTTAGAAGGCCTCCTGGATGCAATTCAGTGGAGACTGATAAGTGAGCACCCATAGTGCAGAGCAAGGGAGTTACAGAGGCTCCCCTAGAAGACTGGAAAGAGGAAGTCCTGAGAGAAAATACAAGAACCTCTTCTTTTTTCTCTTTTCTGGGTTTTATTGTGTTCCAGCACCCAGGAAAATCTTTTACTAAAATAGAGAGAGCAGCTATGGGAAAACTCAAAATCCAAAATTCTCGGGGAGGGATGCCTTCCTTAGTTCTGTATGTAGTTGCAGTTTCAAAATTGCCCAGCAAATGTCAGTAGTTTTTTAGATTTTCTTCCCTTGCTGCAGTAAGACAAGCACATTTCAGAGTAGGGCAGAATGCTTTAACAGAGAGCCAACAAAAAGCAGAAGTTCAGGAAGTCAAAATATTGAGGAGACCATGGAGAAAGAGGCCTTGGGAAAAGTCACTCAAGAAAGTTAGGAACTATAGGCTTTAATCTTAACCTATGAATATGCAGATTTGATCCTAATTAGCACAGCAAAGATTTTGATCATGGAAAAAGATAGTCTACACCCTAGACCCACTGCTGTGAGATACACACCCAGGAGAGGGCAAATGAAAAAATGAAGGTATAATTGACCATGATACGAGAACTTGTATTTTAAAATAAAAACTGTGCAACGCCAAAATAATATTTTTAGAAGAACATTTTTGAAATTATCTTAAAGAATTTGAGTTAAGAGTATTTTATACAAAATTTGAAAGATTTTTAAAATGTATAAATCCTAAAGAAGAAATTGAAATATTCACCTCCATTGAAATTTAAAAGTTATGTTTATCAAAGCACCATAAAGAAAGTAAAAAAATAATCAGATAAGGTGATTTTTAGTCTTTAAAATCAATAAAAAAGTAATCAACATATTATATGAACTTCTTACAGAAATTAGTAAGATGATCACAAGCAATGCATAGAAAATGGAACAAAAGCCTTCAATTGCATATCTTCAAATGCAAATTAGCCAAAAAAACATGAAAAAGATGTTCAACTTTACTAGCAATAGAGAAAGCAATTAAAATGATAGCGAGGGATTTAGCTCAGTGGTTCCACTGCCTGCCTCACAAGTACAAGGTCCCGGGTTCGACCCCCAGTACCAAAAAAAGAGATCAAAATACAGTGATTACCATGCCCCCTTTCAACTTGTAGGCAAAATATTTTAAAATCTCACACTTGAACATTTTAATATATGTGAAGCACGGCCAGGATTTAGCTCAGTGGTGCCACTGCCTGCCTCACAAGCGCAACATCCTGAGTTCGATCCCTCGTACCAAACAAACAAAAAAACATATGTGAAGCAATAGGAACTTCTGTGCATTTGTGGCATGATACAAAACTACCCTAACACTTTTAGAATTAGATTGCCATTCCAAGGCAAAGCTGGATGTACATATAACATTAGCTGCAGGGATTTCTTTCCTGGAGTAAATGTATAAGCATATTAAAACACAAATTGCAGAAATAACCAAAACATGCATTAGTGGCCAAATGAGAATTACATTGTAAAGTAATCTTAAAGTGGTACACTATTCAGCAGAGAAACTAGGTAAAGGGAAGCCACATGCAAGCTACACCTAATGAGCCTACTAGATCTCATATTCAATTTTAAAAAATGCAAAAAATGGTGTTACACACTAGGCTCAAAATACACAAAATTACACAATAGTTCAAAAATAGGGGAAATATATCCAAATGTAATAAAATTATTTAAAAACAAAAGAGAAAGGGGATATTATAACATTTTATGAGAAGAATGATGTAAACCTCTGGGTGAAGGGTGAGAATGTTATGTAATTGGGGAGGGCTACAGGGGACTTTGGAAAAACTAGCTGGTCTAATTTTTTAACCTCAATAGTAGACACATGGGTGTATATTTCACTAAAATACTTTAAGCCACCATATATTTTTATACATTCTTCTATATATATATATGATTTTTAATAAAACAAATAGAAGTTCCATTTTGAAACAAATCACTCATGAAATTCCAAAGCTGAATACTGGGTTTGTCCAAAAAGCTGCATACAGATAGGAAGTATTTGGTTATAATTTCTCTCACTTAAACACATTCCAGTTTTGAACTCTTGACTCTTCAAAATACCAAATATAATTATAATGTGGTATTTTATTTAAGCATGTGCAATAAAAGGGTACCATTGAGTTGTGGTAGCGTGTAATGTTTTCCAATTGCTAGACATGGAGAATATAATTTTATAGTGTGTATTTGCTCCTATGGAAGACTATTTTGTAGATTTATATAATGTCATAATTTATATAATGTTCATTGCATCAAACTCTCTCTCTGTGTTTACATGTTCAACGTAAATTAGAGTTTAGGATATAAGTCAAAAGACTGATTCCCAAAAGCTGGCCCTTCACTTCAGAAAACGCTACTCAGGCATAGTCAGTTTTTGAAGCTGGAATTGCCACTACATTGTTGTTATTTTTGTATGGTTTTGCAGATGTTAAAGATGTATTTGAGATATTCCAAGAAGAAAGGGATCCCTTTCTAGCTGATTAGAACATGTGTTTTTGTAAGTAGAGAAAGTTCCTAGGAACAGATTATAATTCTACTTATTTTTACTTCATTGCCTTTAACAGAAAACTTTAGCTTAATATACTTCCTATATCATATTTTTTTCTTTCTCTGATCCCTCAGTCTTTCTTCTATTTATTAAAACCAGAAATATAACTTTGAGTTTTCTCCCCAGAAAGCTAATTTATACAAGATTAGGTACAAATTATATAATCAAACACACTTTTTAGAAATTCGTTTCTTCTGTAATATCTTGTAAAACATATTTTCCTTGCTGGCTTATGATAGACATATTTATCTGAAGTTTTATATTAATAATTTGTATAATATAATAGTAGCAAATGGACTTTTATTTTGACACTGGCTAGGGCTACTAAATTCTAGCTCCATTCTCTGTAAGTCATGAAAATATTTTAAGACTATTTTGCAGTGAATATAAGCAGCAGTGTTTTCACCATGGAATACAATAATTATAGTGTTTATTGAAAAATTATACTCTGTGCATTTAACTTAGCTTGGCCAACAATTTCACTCCTTCTATAGAGGATACTCTCAATGTGTATAAAAACTTACAGAAGTATGTTTGCAGACTTCTTGGAACTAGAGTATAAAACATGCAATCTAAACTGGACCAACTTTTCTGTAAATAGTATGTTGAAATTAAAAATATTTAGAGCAGAACGGTAATGATTTTTGCATAGATACCCACAAACCTGTGAAAGTACGTGCATATGTTTTTATTGATTTATTATACTTTTTCTCAAATTCACCTAGAATAATTGAGATGAAATCAATCTGATTCCCAGAAAAAAAAAACCAAAAATAAAATTGACCTATGAATCTAGGTCTTGGAATGCTCTGCCTAATAAAATTTCATGCCTTATTGTAGCAGTACTTGGTCATGATATTTCAAATCAAGTTATTTTATTTTTTTCCTTTATGTTTGTTTTAAACAAATTAAATAATATTTTGGGTAGTTGTATATACTGTATAATGCATATATATTAACATGCACACGCATATAAGGAGATGGGTAATTAATGTATAGTTTAATAAATTTTCATGAAATAAACATACTTGTCCAACCAGTACCTGTATTCAGAGACAGAATAATATCATATCCTAGAAGTTTCCTCCATTTCTCCTTCCATTCACTACTCTGTCTCAAAAAGAACTATGACCATATAAATTTTAATACCACATATTAATTTAGCATGCTTTTGAACTTTATTTAAATTAAATCATAAATCACACCCCTGCAACTTTTTCCCATTCAACATTATTTTGTGAGATTTATTTATGCTATTTTAAAAATTCATATTACCAATATTTTGCTTATATACATTGCTGTTTTGTATACGAGGATGGTTTAAAGATATGATCTGTAATGACTACGCATCATGCTAAACACTATTTAAAATACTAATTTGAGGTCCATTGGCTCAAACCTAGTGGCCCAGAAGGGCATTAAACTGGTCAAAGAAACCAAAGGAATGTTAGTAACAGCAGTTTTTTTTTAAACTCTTTCATCCTATATGGAAAAAGAAAAAAAACTAACTTTTATTCTCAGTTCAAATAGTCAGCTTTTGTTATGAAGATATTGGCATTTACTAACTTAGCACTTGGATTTCTGTCTCTCCCTAAAGAGATAAACGTAAGTGTAGAGTCACGAATCTCCTCTGCATTTATGCTTATCTCATCTTATCTTGTTTCTAATGTAATTGGTAGAGCTTTGGCAATCCCTTTGAGACTATGAAAAAATGAGTATGAAAATAATGGTAGCACATTACAGTGGTCAAACCCACATATCATGATAATCAGAAACTTTGATTATTTCATTGTGATGCTAATCCAACTTTTAGACTCATCATTCAGTAGAAGTAGAAACTTTGTTGTGATTTAATATCAAACTTGGAGTTTTCTCTTAGTGTAGCTAAAAAGCATATCTGATGAACAGATCATCTACCTAATTAAGACAGAAACATACACTTCAATCTTGCTTGCAACTATGCTATATTTGCATTGATATCTTGAAAATCAATAACAATTCTTCCAGATGTTTGGTTTCTTTAAAGAATACTCTGAATTTCTTGGTATTGTAGTACAATTTGAGAAAATATTAAATGGAGTACTTTTCTACTTATGGTCATGCCAATGACAGGACAATTCTAGTGGTAGGTGTTAACAAAGCTTCTGGAAGATATCTTTAAGGGTCAGGGGACATCAAGCATGATTATTACACTGATAGTAACAGAAGGTTCTTTTCTCTGATTACTCTTTTATTTATAGGTAATAATTATTTGTGTCAAACATTTCTTTATCTCTCACATACTGGTTTTTTATGGCTAATAAATTTGAATTTAGGCTGAATTTTCTTTTGAATTAAAGCAACTCTCATACTTTCAAAGTAGATGGAAGTATCTCAGTGGATATTACATGAGCATTTGGAGTCATACATGAAACAGAATATCTTACTAGTAACAATTTATATTTCTTAAGTTTGTGCTGAGACCAAATGCTATATTGAGTTTATTTAAACAATGCCATCAGAAAAGCAATCCTCAAATTTTATTGCTGCCATTATTTTAGTAGAGAAGCTGAAGAATAACAAGAAAAAGGAATGTTAAAATTCTTGTTTTGCTTCCTTGGAGAAGCACTTGTGTTATCCAGTTAAGTCCTCAATTAATGAATTTTTTTTTGTTTTACATTTTATAGCAAGAAAATCAAGCCTTTCAGAGGTTAAAAGAAAAATTATGTCATTTGTGAACCTGAAAATAATCTCTAGATATTCAAATTTGCTTTTGATTAGTCTAGACTGCTTTAATGGACCTCATTCACAAACTAAAAATCACATTGTGGCATTAAAAGGATGGTAATAAATATTTCCCAGAAAAGCCCGAAAACTGCAAATTATGAGTATTTGTTCTACTTATAAACTACTGATTGTAAATGGAGGAAAAATACTAAGAATTTCACACTGATCTTTTTATGTACATTTTCACTACATGAAAACAACATTTTATTTAATTTAGGGAGATTAACAGCAAAATTAAACCTTTAATAAAAATAAACATATAAAAATACATATATTTCCCAAATAATGAATTATAATATTCCAAGGACCTGTGGACACACAGTGCCATGACCAGGCTCTATTTAGGCAGGGTGTAGAAGAAAAGGACTTATGTAGTGGGGAAGCCAGCCTTCACAAGCTTTGGCACTTAAACTGGAGTCATATTTGTGGAGGCATAAATTTGTTTTGAACAATGAATCAAATGTCTTCTACACAGATAGGGTTTTATGTAACCCCATGGGCATGTCTTTCTCTACTTACATTTCCTGGAAAATAAGTACATACTTTATAACCAGTCTATGAATAAAGAAATAGCTTTTCATGACAGACTTAGAAGGTTCAGAATTTCTACCTGGATAAACAAGTATGGATTTGTTAGTCTGTCTAGGTTTATGTGTACTTATGCTCCATTCCATAAACCATCTCACAAAAAGGTTTCTGAAGCAGGATCCTGACTTTGCTTCCCACGTTTTATGAAGCAGTGTGTCTGTGGAGGAGGGTGGCTCTTTATAAAAGGAATCTAGTTGTGTTTCTGTCTTGAGACTACCCACAGGGAACATAAGGAAGTAAAGTATGGATTTTTTTTTAAGATACTCCATACATCAATAACATTCTCAATGAAAAAGTAAGAATAGTGCTCTTAGTTCATCAGAAAGATAATAGATATTTCTTGACAGTGGAAAGATCCCGAGAAGACTTTGTTTTGAACTAAAATGAACAAGAGGACTGCTATGATTAACAGGAGCAAAGAAGTGGAAACAAGTTGTTGTATGAGGTGAGTGATGTGCCAAGGAGGGAGGTGATCAGCCATGAGTATCTGACCTCTGAGAACCAATCCCTCTTGTCACATTTAGCATCTCATTTTTTTATTCTTTCAGTCAGGCCCACTGCAACAGAATTAAAATTGTGAAACCACCCCATGCTCACCTTACACACATCTCAGGTGAACAAAGAGATCTCTCAGGGTTCCTTTCTTAGACTCAGAGGATACAGTGTGTTTACAGATTGTCACCAAGGTGACCCTGGCATAATACTATTATAGATTTTTAGCTTCTGAGATTTCCAGAAATGGAATAATATTGAAAATACAGACATAATCAGAAAAATATTTATATCAAGAAAATTATACAACACTATTGATAATTTACACAGCACTTAATATCTAGAAATTCATATGTATGTCTGTATACATATACATGTATAACATTTACACTCACTTTGAGTTTTGATATACCAAACATATTTTGGGCTTCACTGTTCTCTTAAGTAATCTGCTTCAGCTAGATATCAGTCAATAAGTGGCTTATTCATGGTGCCTGGATAAGGCATCCTTGCTTGAATAGAATATAGATTATGGAAATTAAAAACTCACAAATCAATGTAAGGTCTTTTGCTTCCTTTGTTAGATTGATTCCTGGATATTTCATTTTTTGGATGCTATTGTGAAAGGAATTGTTTCCCTAGTTTTTCTCTCAGTGAGTCTGTTATTTGTGTACAAGAAGGCTATTGGTTTTTGAGTGCTGACCTTGTATTCAGCTACTCTACTGAATCTGTCAATTAAATCTAGAAGTCTTTTGGCAGAATTTTTTGGGTCTTCTATGTACAGTATCATATTGTCAGCAAATAATAAGACTTTAATTTCTTCCTTTCCTATCTTTATTCATTTATTTCTTTCATTTGTCTAATTCCTATGGTTAATGTTTCCAGAACTATGTTGAACAGGAGTGGTGATAGTGGATATCCTTGTCTTGTTCCTGATTTTAGCATGAAAGTTTTCAGTTTTTGACCATTTAGTATGATTTTGGATGTTGTTTTTCATAGGTAGCCTTTATCAGGTTGAGATAAAGACCTTCCATTCCAATTTTCTGCAGGGTTTTTATCATGAATGGGTCTTGGATTTTGTAGAATGTTTTTCTGAATCTATTGAGATGATCATATGGTTTTTGTCCTTGGCTCTGTTAATATAGTGTATTACATTTATTGATTTACATATGTTGAACAAAACTTGCATCCCTGGGATAAATCTGACTTGGTCAGGGTGTATGATCTTCTTGACAACCCTCTGTAATCTTTTTGCCAGTATGTTATTGAGGATTTTTGCATCTATGTTCATTAGGGAGATTGGCCTATAGTTCTCTTTTTTGGTTGGGTCTTTCTCTGCTTCTGGAATCAAAGAAACACTTGCTTCCAGGAATGAATTTGGGAGTATTGCTTCCCTTCCAATTTCATTGAAAAGTTTAAAGAGTAGTGGCAGTAGTTCTTCTCTAAATGTCATGTAAATTCAGCAGTGAAGCCATCAAGACCTGGGCTTTTCTTTGTTGGTAAATTTTTAATTACATTTTCAATTTCACTAAGAAAATAGAAAGACATACCTTGTTCCTGGATATGAAGAACCAATATAGTAAGAATGGCCATACTTCCAAAACTGCTATACAGATTCAATGCAATCCCATTTGAAATCCCAACAGTATATTTCACAGAACTAGAGAAAACAATCCAAAAATTCATTTGGAACCAGAAGAGATCTAGAATAGCAAAAGCAATTCTAAACCTCAGAGACATGACAGGGGGTATCACAATCCCCAACTTGAAATTATACTACAAAGCCACTGTGATAAAAACAGCATAGTTCTGGCAAAGAAACACCTGAGGATCAGTGGAACAGATTAGAAGATACAGAAACAAATCGAGACATACTCAGCTACCTCATCATTGACAAAGAAGCCAACTATCCTCACTGGAGGAAAGATAGCCTTTTTAATAAATGGTTCTGGAGAAACTGGATTACAATATGTCAAAGATTAAAACTAGACCCCTATATTTCACCATGCACTGAACTAAAATCCAAGCGGTTTAAAGATCTAAATATTAAAACAGAAACACTAAACTTGCTGGAAGATAAGTTAGGTAGAACTCTTGAAGACACTGGCATAGGAAAAGCCTTTATGAACAAAACTTCAGTAGCACAGGAACTAGCACAATCAATAACTGGGATTTCATCTTATTACAAAGCTTCTGCACTGCAAGAGAAACCACCAACAGTGTGAAGAGACAACCCACAATGTGGGAAAAAATTTTCACCTGCAGTTCCTCAGACAAAGGTCTACTATCTAGAATCTATAAAGAACTTAAAAACATCAGACCTCCCCAATTTAAAGACCCAGTCAAAAAAAAAAATGGGCATCTGAA